ACAAGACGTGAAGCATTTTTAGGATTTCGGGCAGCGCTTGTAAAAAACGTACGGGACACCGTTCGGACCTGGGGCAGACTTGCCGCTGGCATTTTTCACAACTTCCTCAACCTCAGACCAAAGGGGAGGTATCATTTTAAATGGTACCTTCGGCACCGAAGGGTGTTTGAGACCGCTAAGGATCTCTGGATTGTCATCGAGAGGCTCTCTCCTCTTTTTGTCAGAGAACATCTTGCGTAGATGTAGCTCAAGTTCTTCCTGACTGAGAACCAGAGTCAAAGACTTCGGTTGCTCGAATAGACCTCGGGCAAACTGATACGGGTCCCTAAAGAATTTCTCTCGCTCCCTTTTGGTTCTTCGTCTGTTGTTACAGAAACGCTCAGCGCGACAGAGGGCACTGTGTTTGTTCTTTAAATGCAACCAAACTTCGTACAGCCCCTCCCGTTCGCTGCCTGTAGCGGCTTTGAACCGTTTTCTGAGGGCATTCTTGTCTGTCCGACACTTCAGAATGTCCCTTTGCCTCCTGCTAGTATTCTGCTTTGCACCCGGCTGTGCCTTTACTACTGTCCCGAACTCGCGGGAGCAGTGTTCATATATAACATCACCAAATTTTGTAAGCTTGTCGCCTACCGACTTCTTGTTTAAATCATGTTTAAGTACCTCACATAATGTAGCCTCCAACTTACACCACACCACCTTATCGCTCGCAGGTGGAAACCTGATCCTGGAATGCACTTCCTCAGAAATCATCAAAGGTGCTCCTCCGCAGTCGACGTCATGGGCCTCTCCGAGCGAGTGGGGTTCACCCTGCCCGTCGTTCCCTGACGACTCAGAAACTACCACAGGAGTAGTAGTTTTGCGACGGCGTTTACTGCGTGGAGCACCGTCGCATTTCATTCTTCCGGCATGCGTTCTCAGACCATGCAACCCCGTGAAGCTCTTTCCACATGTACAGAGCCAGCCCGGACGTTGGGCGAGTATCTGAGTCCAGGGACTAGCATTGTCGTCACCGAGAGTATCAATTTGATTGGGCCCTTCATTCTCCCCCCCCCCTCCCCTTTCGGAGGGCCCTGGGGGCATATTTCTATGTGGTTGTACGAAATCGGAGGTATTATACTGTGTTAGGGGTGATCAACCCGGTCGACAGTCGACATTTGTCTCCAGATGTCAGTTTATCCCCCCGGCGATAACGGGGGGCCAGTCTTTCCATAGGTGTCACAAGGTCTTTTCCGAGAGTCACCAGTCTTTCCTGGTAGTCTTGTGGGCTAGCCACGTACAATAGGAAAAAACTCACAAGTATGATTCTGGAACGATTTATGCTCGTTAAGCGAGGTTCCACTGTATACCGTTTTTACAGATGTAAACGAATGGTAAGATTGGTTCGCCATGTGATGTAAAGGGTATGTGAATAGTTTTAACAAAGTATGTTTAAAAAAACGTCGCTGGTAGATCAGAAACAAAAATATATTAAACAAATAATTCACAGCTGGACTGGCATTGTCATAGTTAGCCAGTCCCATATGAAATAACTATCAAAGCTAGCCAGCCAGAGAAAAAAATAACAGAGGAAAAAACTTTCACTGTTAGCCAGCCACAGAGGAAATAACTGTCACTGTTAGCCAGCCACAGAGGAAATAACTGTCACTTTTAGCCAGGGACAGAGGAAATAGCTGCCACTGTTAGCCAGCCACAGAGGAAAAAACTTTCACTGTTAGCCAGCCACAGATGAAATAACTGTCACTGTTAGCCACAGAGGAAATAAATATCACTTTTAGCCAGCCACAGAGGTAAAAACTGCCACTGTTAGCCAGCCACAGAGGAAATAACTGTCACTGTTAGCCACAGAGGAAAAAACTGTCACTGTTAGCCAGCCACAGAGGAAATAACTGTCACTGTTAGCCAGCCACAGAGGAAATAACTGTCACTGTTAGCCACAGAGGAAATAACTGTCACTGTTAGCCAGCCACAGAGGAAAAAACTGTCACTGTTAGCCAGCCACAGAGGTAAAAACTGTCACTGTTAGCCAGCCACAGAGGAAATAACTGTCACTGATAGATAGCCACAGAAGAAATAACTGTCACTGTTAGCCACAGAGGAAAAAACTTTCACTGTTAGCCAGCCACAGAGGTAAAAACTGCCACTGTTAGCCAGCCACAGAGGAAATAACTGTCACTGTTAGCCAGCCACAGAGGAAATAACTGTCACTGTTAGCCAGCCACAGAGGAAATAACTGTCACTGTTAGCCAGCCACAGAGGAAATAACTGTCACTGTTAGCCACAGAGGAAATAACTGTCACTGTTAGCCACAGAGGAAATAACTGTCACTGTTAGCCACAGAGGAAATAACTGTCACTGTTAGCCAGCCACAGATGAAAAAACTTTTACTGTTAGCCAGCCACAGATGAAATAACTGTCACTGTTAGCCAGCCAGAGAGGAAATAACTGCCACTGTTAGCCAGCCACAGAGGAAATAACTGTCACTGTTAGCCAGCCAGAGAGGAAATAACTGCCACTGTTAGCCAGCCACAGAGGAAATAACTGCCACTGTTAGCCAGCCACAGAGGAAATAACTGTCAGTTAGCCAGCCACAGAGGAAATAACTGTCAGTTAGCCAGCCACAGATGAAATAAGTGTCATTGTTAGCCAGCCACAGATGAAATAAGTGTCATTGTTAGCCAGCCACAGATGAAATAACTGTCAGTTAGCCAACCACAGAGGAAATAACTGTAACTGTTAGCCAGCCACACAGGAAATAACTGTCACTGTTAGCCAGCCACAGTTGACCAGAGCTCTGTTCCATGTCTTGATGACGATCCTTTCAAATTTTGATGCAGCACTGCAATCTGGCCTTAGAGTCCAAATCCTTTTGAAAAAAAAAAAAAAAGCTCGACCACGTTCTGACTGCTGCTAGCTAGCCGAGGCTGCTAGTAGTCTCCGCATATATTTGTGGTCTGGGTTATTTGCGTCACTTTCGTGACTGAATTCTAGTGTTTGTGCCATTTCTGGGCTTGATGCTTCCATCCGAATTAAACCGCTCGTCCTCCACCCTGTTGTCACTGGTGCATGTCTTTCTTCTTCTTCCTTGGTGTTTCCTGTTTGTTTTGTCTCCCTTTGATCTGGCTAGGCGTATCTCGTAGGAGAGCGAGCTTCCATACACATCCTTTGGACCACCATTTATTGTTTTAAAATTTTAAGTATTTTATTTTGCCAAAAAGTACTGAAAACAGTTTTTAAATTTAATAGTTCCGAAATGTGAAAATTTTCCGCGTGTGACCATAGTGGTCTTATAGTTGTCTTCCTGTAATATGAACGGGTTAGTCATGTAATGTATATGTGTGGGCGGGAGGCCATTCAGTCATTTCACGTCGTTGCCGTCTTGCTGGATTCTATCGTGGCTCTTTGCCGGGACTATGTGTATCACGTTACCAACCTTTGCTTTCATCCCAGTGATGGGGTGGTCTTGGTGGTTATGTGTTCTAGTACTGTCATTATCGAGTCACTTGTTTTCCCTTTTTGATGGCAGTCATATCTTGTTGTGAGTCCTATCGGTCATGTGCATGTTGAATGCATGCTGTGGAATGGGATGGTTTTGTGTATGAATCCCCGGAGTATATGGACGCACACAACTAAGTGTATGCGTACATGCACTCGAGTATTCATACACGCAGACAACACTACATGTTTGCACGTCCTTTCATACTTATTCTGGCCTTAGAATTAGGAAGACTATTATATATCCTGAGTCGTGGACTATCTCCCAGTTCTTAGGAAAGAGAATAGGGGTTTTGAGCTGAAATGCTATAGAAGGATTCTTAGAATATCTTGGACAAAAAAGAGGAGAAATACTAACATCTTGAAAGATCTGAACATCAAGGAAGATTGGCTAATAAACAGCATCTTGTCTCGAAAGCTAAAATATGTTGGTCATATTGGATTGGAAAAAAACTATAGCAGAAGGCATGGTACCAGGAAAGGGGGAGACAGGAGCTGACCGAAACGAAGATGGCCACAGGATATAAGTGACTCCTTGAGTATGAAAGTACATGAGGCGGGAGAAATGGCAAGAGACCGAGTTTCTTTCAGGCAGACTGTGAGGAGAGCGACGTTCTCCAAAGGACCTGCTACAAGATGATGATGATGATGATTATATATCCTAAGCACACCACGATGAAGTCAGCGAGTGTAAGTGCACTTGCTTCATTGTAAATGTACTCGATGTTACAAAGAAGAAAAAAAATAAAAACAATTTAAAAAGAACGAATGTAAAAGTAAAAATCAATGTTTAAACATGCACATTAGTTATATGTGTGTTTACCAGTACTGGTAAAACATATTAGCTCTCCTGGTTTCACATTGTAATTATCAGTCCTTTGTTAAGAAAGAGCCCCCCCCCCCCCCCCACACACACACACACACACAAGCTGGAGATTGCTAAAATAACTCTTGTATATGTGTGTGTGTGTGAGACAAACATTTTCCTAGCTTCACCTAATCGCAATCACACTAAAAGCTACGGATTTACACACACACAAAGACACATACACACATACACACACACACTGTCGATTGTGTTATCTGACCGCTGATGAAGCTCACTATGCTGATGCGTTTGCGCACTGTAAGTGTTGTGTTTCACATAAGGCAAACTGGGATACTGGATAACAGCGCAGGTAGGCATCATTAATATCTTCTACAGCTTGTAACATTGTCTATTACAAATTACCAAAAACATACGAAAGATATAATATAATTTTAGGAAGTTTACAAGTTTCATGCCGAATCTTATGTGTGTGTGTATGTGTGTGTTTGAACTATTATTTTTGTTTATGCCAGAAACACAATGATCAAATGTTTTTATGATTTAAAATATTTCTGAGCGCTAGAAGTTAGCCGGTGAAAGTATTTCTTTACAATTTACTTGCAAACAGATGTTTCGGTCAATGTAATTTGGGTTTCAGAGAGACCTGCTGTGACTGTAGTGACGTGAGGTCGGTATTGACATGGATTATATCAGAGTTGAAGGAAGCCTGATTCTGCCAGCTAAAGTAGATGGCTCCCCTGATGTGTTCCAGAGGCCATATTTTACTCTAGTGAAACCAGAGTAAGTAAAAGCACTCTTGTTGTGCTGATAACTGGTGTGGTGGGAAAAGACATTGCATGCACTCAAGGCGAATTCTTAATGACATTAGCTGACTCAGTAACACCCCACTCAGTGTGTGCGCGTGTGAGTGTGTGTGTGTGTGAGAGAGAGAGAGAGAGAAAGGGAGAGGGAGGGGGAGAGACAACTATATTGACATAAGCAAGCTTCTATGGTGGTTTGTGAATGACTATTGGGGGTCTGAAGATTTCTCGAGCCCAGAGGTCAGAGATGCGAGGCAGGACGCCGGTCAATCGGCAATTATTTAGCAAATTATTTAAGTAGAAAATCTAGGTTTTCGAGCTTACGTGTTACAGAAATGTTTTTGGATACATTCAGAAAACCTAAAATGTGCTGACTCGTGCATACTAAAACAACCTCGTGGCTCGGAAACTGAAATGCCTTGGTTATTTTAACGTGCATTTGTTTTTTGTCATCTGATTTTTAGTTCTCTGTCAATTCTGCCATTTTCTGTTATCACACTTCTTATAATTTACATCTCTAGGAAGTGCGAATTAATAAGATGACATAATTGAAAGAGAAATAGAAACCATATATCAGAAAGCAAGTGCACTTATATACCAACTGTCACCATTATTAGCTTATCCAAAAATAATGACGAGTGCAAAGAATAGATTATAAACAGCATACAAAGTCAGACAATTTAGAACTGAAACAGGAAGATCGCTGTTCGACTGTGAGGATGTTGGTAGATGAATTTGGTGTTAACACAGAGAATATTCGTAACATTTCATTGTCGGACATTGTAATTACTCCAACATTAAACTATCAGTGCCAGACATGGACGCTGTCTAAAGGCCATGTACGCAGTATTACCACTTGCGTATTATTTGTCATCCTATTAGGATGCAAATTTTCTTTCTTTTGAAACCCCACCCTGGCTTTTACAGGAACCGCAAAATAGCCCGGCCATATATATATGGCCTAATGGCTGAACGCGGTTTCCGGGACCCCTCCACGGGTGATCCTCATCCACACGGTGGCACTTTATGATATCGGGTGTTTATCGCTTGTGTGATGTCCTAGTGGGGTAAACTGTATTACTACTACTATTACTTGCGAGATTATTAATCAAGTCGTCCCATTGTGGGATGCAATTTTTCGTAATTCGAAGCCCCGCACTGGCTTTTGCCGGGGGCCCTGAACATAACTGTTCCACAAATGTGGCCAGAACGACTGAAAGGGGTTTCTGGGATCTCTCCACTGGTGATCCTCATCTGCATGGTGGCACTTTGTGGCACTGGGTGTTATCGCTTGTGTGATGCCCTGGTGGGTTACAACTTACATACCTACATACATGCATGCCTCTTGCGAGATGAAATGTTTGAGAAAAGCCGCCAATCTAAACATCCGAGTTCGAGTTAATAATGAAACTATCAGACATATCGTGAGAACGACACCTTGTACTATTCATCAAAAAGCATATCAGATGGTTTGGCCATCTCGTTAGAATGCAGCAACATCAAATACCACCACCAGCAGTACTGATGGCCACGGAAATATGGATCAATAACAGTAGAGACACGTTACGCCTTTCACAGCTTGACAATAGCCAGTGTCAGTCAGTGTACACTGAATCTCAAATTATTCCTGCACATGGCGGTTCATGGCAGAAGTGATTTATGGTGATGATAATACAATTTTTAAGTGACAGCGGCGAAGAGCATATATATATTAAACAGTCACCTGAGTTTAAATATCTTAAAACAACGTTGACTGAAGAGGAAAACTGGACGAAGAAATTAACATTCGATGCAGTAAAGCATGCCAAGTATTGGGACAGCCATCCTTCCTCTTACAGCATAAGGCAATTAAAATCAGCACAAAGAAACAACTCATACAAAGCATATTAATTCCCACGCTATGCTAACAGTGCCAGACATGGTCACTCATAGCAAAACATAAACGAAAATTAGTAATCATGTAAATGAGGTGTCTGAGAAAGGCTGTAGAGTGACCAGAAAAATATAATCTCAGGAATGAGGTCGTACGAGATGAAGTCGACAGAGAACCAATTCTAAATTACATACAAAGGCAGCTACTCAAATGGGTTGCTCATTTGGAAAGAATGCCTTCTGGTGCTAAATGTAGTCATTTCCATTTCGTCAGCAACTACAAGATTATACGAGGCATATAAAAAAAGAGAAGACGGACATGGAACGAGAGGTAGACCAAAAAACAATAGGGAAAGATAACATCAGAGAAACTCTACAGCACAACGATGTATCTATGGCCGAAGCAGCCAGAAGAGCACGAAGCGGGACTTTATATCTCCCCGACACCTGAAGTGATAAAACAGGACGTAAAGAAGAAGAAGAAGAAGAAGAAGAAGAAGAAGAAGAAGAAGAAGAAGAAGAAGAAGAAGAAGAAGAAGAAGAAGAAGCATAGAAATGACAATAATGGATATTATAGTTTTTAGTCGAAGAAACAAATCGACAAAGAAAAATTTAACATCGATTTCAAAGACACCTAAAGTAATTTTACTCAATTATGGTCATTAGCTTGACTGTCTACAAACCCCAGCGCACGATTGTTGGTTCTGTTCAAGTCACTTTCCACATAGTTAATTCTAACGACGAAATTAACAAGCTACCACGGCCCCTTATTAGAATACGATAAGATAACATAAAATCAATGTGTAATTGGTATAGATGATCCACCTTCTTTATCTACACGGATCCTCCTTTCTGTCTGCCTATCTACAGTAACATAGCAGGTCTATAAACAAAATAAGATCCAGGAAAAGTTATGGTATCTGTTTGATCGTGGGTTGTTGGTGTTTAACTCTCTCTCGTAACTCTCCGCTAGTTTGTAAACTCTCTTGTACCACATGACAGTATTTTAGTGCTAGGTGTACTAATTAGTACTGTCCACTAATTATAACTCCTTTGAAGGTTGAACAGGGTATCTAGGAAATGCGCTGTTAGACGCATCCAGAGTGTGACTAGCTTGAGCCCAAGGGTTTCAGACCGTCAGACCAGGAGGGGGAAAACGATCGCCAGTGTTTAATTAGTGTACACAACCTGGTGTTAAGCGAGATCGTTTTCTTTCCGCTCGATTCCCGGCCTCCCCGTTTTTTCACTCCGGGCTGCCGTCTGAAGGTTTGACCTCCATGAAATTACACAATTCCGATTTCAATGACAGGTCAACAGGGCTGATCTCAGATATCCCTTTCAACCTACAAAGAAGTTATATTTGTGCAGCGGTCATTGCTACACCTGCCTGTGACGGTAAGGACAGTCGCCAAACATATTTGGACTCATCATCATCATGTAGCAGGTCCTTAGCAGAACGTCGCTCTCATCACAGTCTGCCTGAAAGAAACTCGGTCTCTCGTCAGTTCTCCCGTCTCATGCACTTTCACATTCAATGAGTCACTTATATCCTGTGCCCATCTTCGTGTAGGTCGGCCCCTGCCCTTCCTTCCTGGTACCATGCCTTCTGCTGTAATTTGTTCCAATCCGTCGTGGCGCTTGATATGACCAAAATATTTCAGCTTTCGAGAAAGGATGCTGTTTATTAGCCAATCTTCCTTGATGTTCAGATCTTTTAAGATGTCAATATTTCTTATCTTCTTTGTCCAATATATTCTGAGAATCTTTCTATAGCATTTCAGCTCAAAAGCCCTATTCTATTTCGTAAGGACTGAGAGATAGTCCACGACTCACATCCGTATGTAGCCACAGGGAAGATATTTGGACTAGGAAGTCAGAAATGAGCTCGTTGTAAATACTAACCAGGACTAACTGTAGGTGCTTACATATACAATATTCTTTCCAATGAAAAAATAAGTACTAGTAAAATGTAATAACTATTATGTAACACGACCCACATTATCTTGAACCGTGAAGCAATAGAAGAATGTTTTTTTACCTCGGGGTAAGGTTAGTCAGAAGGAGATCCTGAACTGGGTGTAACAGCAAAAATAAGGAAATCAAACCGAGTATTTCAAATGCTAACAAAAATATGGAAATCAAATGGACCTAGCTTGAAGACACAATGCATTCATTTACAGCAACATGTTAAGAATACTGCTCTACAACAGCGAGAATTGAAAAGAGACAGTGGGAATAATACATAATCTATAGACTGTTGAAAATAAACGTCAAAAAAGAATCGTACGAGTATTTTGACCACACACGAAGAACTGACGGGGTCATCATTTGTTAATCTTTTGGAAGAACAAAAATGGCTTGATCATGTTTGCAGAATAACACATTGAAAAGGACGCCCAGAGTTAGTATGCGGAAAGAAAAGGGATCTTGGACCTAAAAAAAAATGGGAGAATGGCAGTAGAAAGGAAATGGAAGGTCAGTAAACTGGTATGGGATATCATGATCGGAAAAGTAGAAGATCAGCAGCAATAGGGATCACTTGTAAATGCCGCTTGTGTCCACAGTGACATGAAGATGACATAGATATAGATAAAAAATGACCATACAGAAAAGAATAGTCTTCTGTCTGGATAGTGTTACGACAAATATTTTTACTCGTACGAATGGAAGAAGGCATTTCCTCAACAATAAATAACCCACTTTGTAAACTTAAACAGCTGGATTGTTATAGCAATAGCAGTAACCGAGGTTCTACCTTCACCCTAAAATTGTCGCCCCATAACTGCTACGTTCCTGTGCTAGTGAAAATCAGACAAAATACCCTTTACTGTCTCATTTAAAAACAAACAACAACAAAATTAGTGAATTAACAGTTAATCCCACTGAAATCCAGCAACATGCACACGCAGTAAATGCACTTGACATCTTGTAGAGATGCCTGCATCAACAGTCACCATGAGAACTGTAATTTGCCCTTGTCAGAATTTAGCAGTAAGTCCCGATACCATGGCCGCACACGTGTACAATTAAATGGGTACAGGCCAGTCGTAGTTTTCTGAAGAAGAAAAAACAAAGTAAAGATCCGTTTTCACCTCTTTAAGCGCATCGGGCATTTAGGAAGAATACCCATCTTTTTACAGACCAATCGGACATCACGCCAGCTGTCTTTATTTCTCCAAGACATACATCTTTACTCATTTTAGTCTGGGTCGACCTGCGAAGCCCCATACCACGATACAAATCCACACAGTCAGCAGTTGTTTCGATCGCCGTACGTTTGAATTACGTAGCAGTAGGGATAAGAATCAAGGCCTGCAGTCTGTGCTGCAGGTAAACATAGAGTCCTGCTCCCCCTCTCACATAATATGCTTCACATAATATCAAATTCTGCACTGTTCTGATCATGTTACAGATGGGTTCCAGATGAGCAGTGCAGTTACTGTGAACTGTGTTCTGTTAAGTTCACTCAGGTTAAACGTAGACATCACTGTCGTATGTGTGGGGCTGTTAGATGTGCCCAGTGCTGTAGCCAAAAGGTACTGTCTGTTGGCTGAATGCATTTTCAATGAATATATTATCATTTCGTGTTGTATGATTGTTAAGAAAGCATTTCAATAAGAATTTTTGTGGATTCAATTTTTTTTCCTATTAGCAAATCAGGATTTAAGGCACACCCTGGGGAGAATCAAACATTTAATCAAATAAAAAGGCACTGAAATGGAAAACAAAATGACTGACAAAAGTGTCCAAGGTACCTCTTAAAAATAGTGTTGATGAGACAGACAGAAGGTCCTGACCCATCCTCATTATTAACAAGACTACACCGGATATAACCGAAGTGTTGTAGTAATTTCCAAGCAAATTATAAGGGACGCCGAAGACGAGACTCGGGTCCAAAAAGCCGTCGAGCAAGGCCAGTGGATCGACCTCTAAAGCGCATTGCCACGAATACACATTTGTGGTGAGATCTGGCGAATGGCCCCGCTGCTACTGAGCTTTGTCGTAAGATCTGCTTACGATGTGTTACCATCTGGCGTAAATATGGCGAATTGGCAAGCGACTAACGACCCAGGGAAGATACACTTGGCGCCACAATAAAGTCCTGAAAGAGTTAGCGGACATTGTGGACCAAGCTAGAATGAGGGCCAACGCGAGGGCCAGTCCTACTATCACCGCCATGCGCTTCCGCAAGGCTTGGCAAATTTGTATAGGTATAATCAACAAGGTCGCATACGCTCCATCGATACTTGACTGTGCGAGGGACTGGTTACTGACTGTTGACCTGCCTCGTTTCGAAAGGTACCTAGAGTCAATCCGGAAGACCGGCCTGAGACCTGACATAGTCCTACACTCTGCGGAAAAACGCCAGCTAATCCTGATTGAGCTGACCGTGCCGTATAAGTCATGGATGGGAGAAAATCACACGGGCAAGCCCGAGAAGTACTGTGAGCTCGTAGCCAGTCTGAGGAGAGACGACGCGTACACAGGAAAATCTTCGCCGCCGAGGTAGGCGCAAGAGGTCTTATCTCCACTTCCATGTGCAGTGTGCTAAAGCAGCTGGGCTTGCAAGGAAACGAGCGCAAAAGGTCACTAAAACAACTGAGCGAAGCTGCTTACAGCGCTTCGAGCTGGCTCTGGGCGCAGCGGAACGTGGTGGTGGATGTGCCTCGGTAGACTGGTCCGAGATTCTAGTGGGAAAAAAGTCTTATCCCTTAAAAGCCAATGTGTCCGATGTGTTACCGGTGTTTCTTTGCAAAAGTCTAATAATTGTCCTATGAACCAACCATAGGCTTGTTACTCTGGTCGTGAACGTAGTCACCCGATCCATTTTGCTACCGCAGCGACATTATAACACAAAATCTCACAGCACCTGTTGAAACTCACTATATCGTCTTCTCCCTATCGAGTCCGATTAAGTGCAGCAGGGGAAGATCGGGGCCTGGTGTAACAGAGTAAGGTCGTAGCTTGTTTTTTAGAAGGCGCAAAGCTAGGATATAAGGAGACCAACAAGTTTTGGTAACCTTTATTTTTCCCGCCAAAACTGAAAATTGACGCGATCACTTGTTTGTTAGGAGATAGCATTTTGCGTAGTATTTGATGAGAAGAAAGTCAACAAGTTTTGGAAACAATATTTTATAAATAGTATTTGACGTCATTGTTGTCGTGCCCTATCAAAGCAAACGCAATTGTACTTGTATTCTAGAAGCTTCTATTGACGTCAGCTGTCAATTTAACTACTATATTTGCGCAGAATAGGATGATGAAATCTTATGCAATTGAGATATTATTAGAAAATCCCACGTGAGAACGCACATAGAAAACAAGTTGAGACGTACTAGAATATTCTAGAAGCAAAAAAAAAAAAAAGTGAAAAGAAAACAAATAACTAGCATTTCATCATCCAAGTATAAATAAAGGGTAAGAGTCCACTTAAAGAGCTTTCCGTCTATTAGACTTAGAAAGTGGAGGGCCTAGTCATATTTACTCTCAGAGCAGCCTTCAGTGGTAGAGATGTCAGTCCAACAATAGAAGCCTTCAGTCGTTGAGACTCAGAGGACGAGCAACTAGTCTCAATGATCCTCGCAGTTGTGGAGATGCCAGCTCAACACTTGAAGCAGAGGAACCAGTCACATGGAACCTAGAAGACAAACACTAGATAGGAGACATGAAACAAGACATCGAGCTACAGAGACGACACATAAGATACATGGATCCATGGTTAACAGGGACACGTTATGAACACTATAGAGATGTTAGAGTCGAGATCAAGCCGTTAGAACCAGACAGTGCTAGAAGCCAGGTGGCAGTTAAAGACACTAGAACCAGTTAACAAAGTAATTAGAGATAAAGAAAACAACGCGACCTCAAGAGTATGAACACAACAGTATGTAACCATAGAGAGAACTCAGCGCCTTTCAGAATATTATTGATGTTATTTTGTGACATTGTTGAAGTATACAATAAAGACAGTATAGACACGAACACCTGTTTAAAGACATTTTATTATATCAGCCTCATAGTCACGTGAGAAGCATGCAGCTAGAACGACATCATCATCATCACCACCACTGTCGACTTGACCATCTTTTTCCACGTCTATAATCTTCTAATCGACTCCTTCTGTAGCAAACCTAAAGACGATCCTGGGTGTGACAAGAACATACGCAACGAGGAAGAGAGCTGTGCTACACTGGCTTCGTGACCCAGGTCGGCCCACGTTCTTAGATTGTTTAGGGAAGCAAGGGCCGAAACAATTGTCGACGAAAGATCTCTCTACTGATGACCAGTGGACCCCTGCTGTGCATGCTCCCGGGTGGATTTCTTCTTATTCTTATAAAGTGCACTGTATTATATTGTATGTCATCGAGCATCCCTTTGCGGGGGGATCGAGTGACGAACTCCTTGTGTTCCGGTTTTACGCCCCGGGGGTGGGGGTGGGGGGGGGGGAATCCATATTTCTCCCAGATTTGCAGTATATATCATGGAATCAAGGCCGAAGGGTTGCAATATTCATAGTACCGAGCCAAAGGGTTTACAACTAAAGGTTTTTAGATACATTAACAAAAAATCAAGCATCTCTTACCCTTCTGGGTTATAACTATGGGCATGCCTGGTCGTTAGTCGCATGCTATTTCGCCATATTGACGCCAGACGGTAACGCACTGTACGCAGATCTTACGACAAAGCTCAGGCTCAAAGGGTGCCATTCATCAGATCTTACCCCACGTGAGTATTCATGGTAAGGCGCTCTGAAGGCCTATCCACTGGCTTTGCTGCGACTGTTGTGCGGCTTTTTGGACCCGAGTCTCGTCTTCGGCGTCCCTTGTAATTTATATAAGTAAAGAACTAAGCACTTATGGGTGTGTCCTGAGTGCTGTGATGTAGATTCTTAATTTAACATTCCACTGACGTATTTAGAATAACTGTTTTCAGATAATGGATATCTGTGTCTTGTAGTACATTAACTGTTCAGTGTTGTGTGGATTATGTTTATATTGAGCTATCTATAACCATTACTGTCATTTTTATCATTTTATTTATGAATATCAAATAGGTCACTAAGAATATTTGTATCTTTTTTTTTTTATATTGATCTGTTATATATGGACATTTTGCTGGGATCTATAGGCACAGTTTAATTGTTTCTTACACTTCTTTGAAGATGATTATCTTTAGCATGTTTCCTATCGTCATAATCCGATACCAGTGTACCATATGTGTGATTAGTGGATATTTTTGCTTGCACTCTAGTAGATACTGTTAATATGGCAATTTAATCGGACCTACATATCAGAGTTGACTTTTGTATAACAAAATAAATCATTTCAAGTAGTTCCCCAGTGTAATAATTAAAGTGAAATAAAGTGCTCGTTTCCAATTGGTCAGATCCCACTGCCACAGCTGGGACTTGAAGAAGCTGAACGAGTTTGCCATGCCTGCAAAACTGTGGCAGAACTGGTGACCAAAGCACGATCCTCCAATGAGGTGAGTTCCTTATTGTACATAATAACATGTTATACGTGTCAAGAACTCCGCTAAGACCGGTCCCAAGCACGGCTGTAAAAGGAGGAGGGTCTGGCTGAACCTGAGTGCTTCATGCGTCTCCGGAAGTAGTGGGTAACCGTGAATCAGCCAGACGGCCTGCATGGAGGCCGCAAGGAGGCAGCCTCTCCACCATGCAAAGGCACAACAGGCCAATCAGCTGTTTGCCTTAAACTATGATTACAAGATTACATAGAGAAAACCGGACGGATCTTAACGGCGACGAACTGGCATGGCTTACGGACTACGATTTATGGAACATGGAACATAAGAGGCATTAACGGAAAGGAAAAGGAGTTAGTAGGGTAGACGAGGAAAGCGAAATTAGGAGTCTTGGCTCTGAATGAAACCAAGAAAAAGGGGCAAGGAACCACATATAATGATGGAAGTATGCTGCTCTACAGTGGTGTCCCTACGACGGAGAGAGCTAAGGGAGGTGTTGGCTGTATTGTGGCCAGGAACCAAGTTAGTAACATCAAGGGATGGAAATTCATCCCGGAGCGAATTATGGTGTTAGATCTCAAAGAAGAAGATAAAATTATCAATATTGTTATTGTGTGCGGGCCAAATGAAGATGAGCGAGTTGATGTTAAAGAAGAATTCTTTGAACTGCTTCAAAGGACCATAGATGACTGTCACGATGAAATTATCCTCCTAGGAGATCTAAATGCCAGAGTAGGAAATGATCACTCTAGATGGGGTGGAGTGATCGGGAGATTTGGTGAAGATGTTTTAAATGATAATGGCAAGCGACTTCTCAGATTCTGCAGGGAACAGAACTTTGTCATTACAAACACAAAATTCCCCCACAAGCGTATACATGCATACACAAGATGTGAACCTTCAAAGAATGAAAAATTCATTATTGACTATGCCATAGTTAGGAAAAGTTCATTCAAGTTTGTTAGAGATGCCAGAGTCACGAGAGGACCAGAGATTGGAAGTGACCACTATCTGGTCACAATAAAGAGAACAACTGAAAGAACTGCTCCATCAAGGCAACACCGACAACCATGCAAGAAACCAAGCAACCAAGAAGAGATGAGGATTAAGGCATACAGGCTAAGAAAGCCAGATATTAGGGCTAGATACCAGGAGCTTATAGTGAAAGCAATAGGAACTAAAGAAGAACCATCAGAGGACACTGAAACCCTCTGGTGCAGATTCAAGAATATCCTCACAGCAGCTGCAGTAGAAGCATGTGGTGACATCCCAAGTGGAAGGCGGGGACATAGGACACCTTGGTGGACAGAAAAAATTAAACTGAAAATAGGAGAAAAGAAAAGGGCATGGAGGCAATACCTGGCAGCCAGGAACACAGCTGAAGAAATAGAGAAATATAAACAATATGTGGCACTCAGAACAGAGACCAAAAATATTGTGCTTAAAGCAAAACAGAAATCATGGGAAGAGTTTGGAGAAAAGTTGGAAAAGAATGCAAGAGAAAATCAAAAACTGTTCTACAAGACCCTCAAGAACATGAGGAATAAAAAAGAGTGCCCACTGAAATTCATAAAAGACAAGGAAGGGGCTCTGCTTACTTCTACAGATAATATCATGGGCAGATGGGAAGAATACTTCTCAGAGCTCCTTGGCGTTGAGGGAAGTCATGACCCAGAAATAATGGACCTCACTGCTGAGAAGGAAATCATCCATGAGGATGATAACATCAGGATGATAGAGTTGAAGGCAGCTATTGAGAAGATTAAGCTGGGAAAAGCAGCATGATTGTATAACACCAGAGATTGTCAAATATATGGGTGTCGCAGGTGAGCGCCTTCTACTGAAGGTTCTGCAGGCAGCCTGGTGTAGTAAAACTATACCAAAAGATTGGGAGATTGCCATCATTATACCTATATTTAAAAAAGGTGATAACAGACAATGTGAAAACCACAGAGGCATATCCCTCCTCAGCGTTCCTTGTAAAAGTTACTCTAGAATTCTCGAGCAGAGAGAAGTCTGGTAGAGCCACAGCTGGACGAGGCCCAATGTGGCTTCAGAGCAAACCGAAGTACTCAAGACCGTATCTTCACAGTGAGACAGATGAGTGAAAAAACCCTTGAATATAAGAGTGAAATGCACCTATGTTTTTTGGATCTTGAAAAGGCATTTGACAAAGTACCCTGGAACAAGTTCTGGGGCTGCTTGGCGGGGGAAAACATTCCAATTAGACAAGGAGATATTCTCTCACCTTACCTCTTCATTCTTATGATGGATGATGTCATCAAGACCTGTAAGGATACTGGAAGATGAGACCAGTCTGTATATCAGAGCTGACATTAGCAGATGATGTGGCCCTGATAGCTAAATCAGAGGCACACCTTCAGTTCAACTTACTTGTCTGGAAGGAAGAGCTTGAAAAGAAAGGGATGACCATCAGTATCTCTAAAACTAAAACCATGGTATCTCAAGGGAGGAGAAGAAACATCAGATCATGATGGGGCAGTATGCATTGGAGCAGGTCAACCAGTTCAAATAACTTGGAGTTGTATTAGACCGAAATGGAGGCATTAAGACTGAGCTGGCTACACGAAAAGCAGCTGCTGGGAGACTCTTACAGGCCATAAACCGGGGGTTTCTTAGCAAAAGAGAAATTGGCAAGAGGACGAAAATGGCTGTTTACCGCTCTACCTATGTACCAGTCCTGACCTATGGGTGAGTCATGGGCAATGACAACAGCTCACAGAAGCCAGCTGCAGGCCTCGGAAATAAGATATCTGAGAAAGGTGGTCCAAGTGACAAGAAGGGACAAAGTCCGCAATCAGACAATACGTCAAGATCTTGATACCCAGTCCTTACAAACCCAAATGGATCAGTCACAGTTACGATGGTTTGGACATGTATGCAGAATGGGAGAAAATCGGCCACCATGGCAGGTATGGGAGGCTAAGAACCAGGGAACCAGACCTCCAGGACGACCCAGGGTGCGCTGGGAAGACAACATTCGACAGTCCCTAACTGACAGAGGACTGGAATGGAACAAAGCCAGAAAGAAAACTGCTGATAGAGACGTCTGGCGATCTCTCTGGCAAACCTCTACACCCCAAGGTAGAAGAGGAGCGACTAAGTAAGTAAGTAAGTAGTATACGTGTCAAGTGGTCATGGACCTTTTCCCATGTACTCAGGGTGGATGGATGTATGACGATACTATTATCAAAGCTGTCGCCTTTACTTCCATAATTTTTATTTGGACATATAATTATCTAGATCGACTTGGAAGCACGGGTCAATTTTCATTAACTCTTTTTTCCCGATATGAGACTGAAACGGACAACTCTTCTATTGCTCTCCCAGTAAAGAAGTTTACATTTATTTATGCTTTAATGAATCCACGCAAGAAGCCTCTTAGTTTTCTTGATTTATGTAGTGCATTCTAGACCTGATTTTTTTTCGACTCCTATTACTTCTAGATCTGATTTACAGGTTTTGTAACCCTTCGAATTTACCACTAATGTGCTAGCGGGAAGAAGAAAACAAAAGAAAAACAAAGAAGTAGTGAGAGAGGAAAAGAAAATTGTAGTTAGGACACTAAATAGTTCCCAGTTAAACAGCAAAAATAGGAAAAGTAGAGAAAAGACAAGGGTTCTTTTGTGCAGGGGCCATGAAACATGATTATCAAAGCACTGACAAAGATACGTGCATAGTAGTATTACACAACTACAACTGACTACAACTAGATAATACTACATAGGCAAGGCTTAGTACTAGTTTTCTCTTGAAACAAGCAAATGAATAAAACTATCACATTCAACATTTGTTTATTTAACCGAACACAAAACTACCGTTGCTTCACAAATAAAACATTAACAAACAACATCCTGTTCAAACAGGCCACGTGCTAAGTCCTTCAACTAACAACAATGTATATTCTCTTCTGGCGACATAAAATCAAATATCTCCCGGCGATGATATCTAAGTTTATACAATTTAACTACGGGAGAAAATGTATAACTAAGACCGGAATTAACCATAGAGCATACACAGCTGTAATCAACAAGCCAGACTCTCTACCTCTGCCCGGTCAATTGCACCTGTGCCGCGATGAGACCACGTGCGATCAGCATCAGCAACCACTGGGCAACAGACTAGGGCTAGCCCAGAACAACCGAGGGAGAGGGCACAGCGACTAACTGACTGACTGACTTTCTACCCCATTAGGACATCACACAAGCGATAAACACCTGATGACACAAAGCGCCACCATATGGATGAGGATCGCCGTGGAGAGGTCACAAAAGCCGCGTTCAGACAATTGGCCATATTTATAGCCTGCCTATATTGCGGCCCCTGGCAAAAGCCAGGGTGGGGCTTAAAATAACAAAATATTTTCGTCCTTAAAAAAAAATTAAAACGGCCTTTAACTTCCTGCCACATTTATTTGGTTTTATTACTTACGTGGTAATTCTGATTTTATATACATGCGTCCCGTCTTCATCTTCAGCAGCCAGCTAATAATTTCAGTTCCGATGGTGCTAGTAGCAGTTCGATTATATTTCTCTCTTACCTTTCTTTTGTAGTGTCTAGTGTCGACCAGATCCCATGGTTACTTCCAGCGCTGCCATACTCTCCAGGTCATAATTATGGATTCGTGCCTCTGCATTGTTCACTTGCACTTAAAGGAACTGACTACATATAGTTTGTTGTGCATAAATTCATCACCCATTGGTGCATAATCAGGCAATCTGTCTGCCTGATTATTTTCTAACAGTCCTGCATAACGCGGAGAAAACATCACAATAACATTAACCGCCTGGGACCTGACAAGCGATGCTTGCTCATCTGTATACCTGTCTCCACCCTTTTTTACATGCGTTATAAGTCGAATTTCTCATCCTGTAAAGTCCATCGTGTCCGAATTGTCTGCCAGTGTCCCTCTGCCACCTGCTAACAAAGTCCAACATGTGTCTGGTTAAACCAATCGTAAGCTTGCCGCTCGGTCTACGGGTATGCAGACTGCTTTAGTTTTGCTACCGCGACGACTTCTTATCTCACAGTGTCTTCTGCAAAATCACAAATTCGTCTTGTCCCTGTCCGAATAACATCATGTAATTCGTGCAGCAGGGGATACACCTGACGCCACAACAAGGTGCTAAAAGAGTTGGCAGCCGTTGTGGACCAGGCTAGGATGAGGGCAGATTCACAAAGGTAGATTCAACAAAGATGCATACGCTCCATTTATGCTAGATTGTGCGGGGGACCGGTTACTGGCGGTTGACCTGGCTATGAAAAGTACCCTAAGTTAATCCGGAAGACCGGCCTGCGACCTGACATAGTTCTCCTCTCTGCAGAGAAACGTCAGCTCATCCTGATTGAGCTGACCGTGCCGTATGAGTCGCGAATGGACGAAAGCATTATGTACAATCTCGAGAAGTACTGTGACCTAGTAGCCGGTCTGAGGAGGGACGAAGCGTACATAGTAAGAGTCTTCGCCGTCGAAGTAGGCGCAAGAGGTCTCGTTTCCACTTCACTCTACAATGTAGTTAAACAACTAGGCTTACGAGGTAATGAACGCAAACGGACACTTAAACAGCTGGGCGAAGTTGCTGAGAGGGTCTCGAGCTGGCTCT